ACTCAGTGTGACAAAAAGAGGCTTACAGAGGTGGGGGGGGGGAGTTCACAGGCACCCAGGGACCTCCCCCCCAGCTACATTCTTAAAAGTAACAGGATAATATCACTATTCACATGGGAATAAAAGACAAGGTAGAAGAGGTGGACAAAAATTAACATCGGTGGAAATTTCATTTAGTTAAAAACTGTTTACATTCACCGAGGAGGTTGTGTACCTCAAATTATATTAAAGTTATGGGCACTCACCGTTACCCCAGACGCGAAAAAACGAACCTTAACCTGCAAAAAAATAAGCATCTGTTTGTAAGATTCAAGATAAATTAATAACGAAAGATAAGTACAACAAGGTCAAATCAAGTACTGCAGTAGAAATAAATGCAGCTTTTACTCCCTCATATATTGTATCAAACTCGATCTGGAATTATTCTTTCCTTATAGATATCCAAATACAGGAATGACAATTCAAAATCATCTTACTCTTTTGATTTCTGATTCTATCGTTACTTCGATCTCAAAACTTCCAAAACCTCTGACGTAAAACAAATCGCATTGTTCGAGAAAGACGTGCGATTATGTAAGCTTTTCACTTCTTCGCGATTGAGTATTCTTGTTTCGTTAAAATTCATTAAAACTAATATAACGGTTAAAACATCAAGGTTAAAAATCTTACATTACGAACAAGAAGGCGAAGTCCAGATCGCTGGATCAACAGTGTCGTTAAACCCATTTCTCAGCTAAAGCATTACAGTCCGTATATTTCAGGGAATCCTTCAAAGTAGTTTTCACCAGGCGCACGTGAACCAGTTAGCGCATGACCAGACAATACCTACTGCTGCTTACCAGTTTCGTAGAAAAATGAGAAAGCCATTTCCAGAGCTGAATAATGAAATGTCTACGTCGGAGCGAATGCGGTCAACAACGCAGGCTCAAATGTTCTAGGTCTAAAATTTAGCGAGGAAAATAATAAGGGCTGACTTTTAAAACTGAGGAACTCTGTTTTCGTCGGAGGCATTTTCCAGAAGTCTTAAGGAGAAGATGAATTTTTGAAAATTTTAGGGGGTGTACCAAGTTTTTCGAGGTTGTTCTGTTAATATAAAGAAAAGCGGCAAGGAAATGACGCCTCAAAGCAACAGAATAGGAAATCAGCATTGCGAACGACTCAAAATCCGTATCTCCGCGGCAAAATCCAGCGCATGCATATACGTTATTTATCTCTGTTATCTCCAAACACATGTTATGTGATTTTTGATTTTATATCTGTGTTATCAAAACTTTCATTTTAAAATTTCCTGTAATCTGCGTTTTTACATTGCCACTCGCCTTTTATGGGCCAAGAAACACGGTTTTAGGCGCCGCCGATTTTTAAAACAGCTGAGTAATCAGGCCTGACACCTGATGAATGGG